ACAACAGCAGTGTCCCTGCTGGAAAAGCAACCGACATCCGGGAAGCGACAGCCACTTGTCTGAAATAGTATAGAATATGAAATAGCATAGGGCTGTGATGATCTCTCTGTGGGCACGTCAGTTGTTGCCCCAGGCTCTGGAGCTGCATGTGGCTCTTTCCTCCCTCTGCTGCGGCTCCGTCACTGATCGGTGCCACAATTTTGAGAGGAACTTCCGGTGGTGGGGAGGGGGGAGAGAAGCACAGTGCGCCAGGAGAAGACTCTATGGCGAGGGGAGGGTTTTCCAGTTGTTTCCACAATTGATAGGGCTTTCGGTTAGGACAGGTCGAGTAAAAAGTACGCTGCGCTAGGAGGAGACTCTACGGTGGGGGAACCGGACTTCCGGTCGGCTCTAGAATTGAACAGGGGGCTTCCGGTTAGGACCTTTGTGGCTCCCGGTGTTTTCTTTTCTGCAGGAAATGGGTCCAAATGGCTCTTTGAGTGTTTTAAGTTTGCCGACCCCTGCCCCATGCCATCTCCACTGCGTATACACGCGCGCCTCCTGCCAGCCAGCTGGTCTTCGGGTCTCTGCCATGCATGCACGAGGTGTTTTGAAAGCCAACCTGGATGCCAAAACAGGGCACGGGGGCAGGTGATACGCGAGGCTCCAAAATGCGATGCAAGTGCCACCCCTCCCCACGCCCTGCTTGGTGTAGGAGNAAAAAAAAAAACTACAGGCCTTTCTCTTTTTTCCCATGAGTCTCGTCCATTAATTTCTAAATGTAGCAATTTACTCTGTTCATGTACATTGTTGTGTTTTTTTTGATCCAGCATGCATTAATTACAAGTCAGGGTTAATTAAAATATGTCATTACCTAATTAAACATTATTCTATTGTGCAGAGAATCTTGGAGCAATAACGGCAGGCCTAGGGAGGTATGCCTGTTTTCATTATTTACTGTCAGTTTCAATTAATATGCCTTTTGGGGCTGCAAACAATGGCACAATCTGCATGCCATTATGCTTCTGTCAGCAACATGCATGCCATTATGCTCAAGTTCCTCCTTGTGTTAGGCAATAAACAACCCAAGCATGCAAAACACAAAACAGATGTTCCCTGGGGATTGATCAGCTGACTACAGCAGAATTGGAAGTGTATCTCTCATGGCATCACTTATCAAGGGGAAATATCCCACGGCTTTCTCTGGATCACTGGATGAGATTCATGAAGCATCAAGCAGATCCTGCAGGAAGCACCATTTCACCCTCTTGTTTGTTTATTCAATTTATATAGCTGCCCATATCCCTGATTCTGGGTGGCTTACAATGAAAACATAAACCATGCCAAAAATATAAAAACAGCCATATAAGCATTAAAAGCAATTAAACAATTAGAAGCCATACAATAGAACCCCCAGGAAAGTGTAGCCATTCAAAAATAATACAGCTATTTTATGGCTCCGCACTCTTTGATTCCCCAGGCTAGATGACAAAACCAGTCTTCGGGCCCTTCCAGAATGACATCAAGGTCAAGGCCAGGCTGATCTCAAGGAAACAATGTTCTCTAGGGTGGGGGGAAGCACCAAATGACACTCTCTAGCGGAGAGAACCCACAAAAGCTTCTTCTGCCAGATCTGATGGGAAAAGTAGAGGCAGTTTTTCAAATAACTTGGCCCATGACATGTGAGGCTTTCTAGATTATTACCAGCATCTTTGAGCAGATGTTGTGAATCCAGAAGACCTCCAGATTGTGCACTGGGTCTGTCTGGGGAAGTGCAAGCCATCCAAAACCAAATATGGTAAATTCCTAGATCCGGAGAGAGGGGGTGGACCTTAAAGTCAAAGCCACTACATTTTGCCAGATTAAGTCAAAGCCTGTTGTTCACCATCCAGACCACTAAAGCCTCCATACATTAACATAGTTAATTTTTAAAACTGCCCATTTCCCTTACAATCTGGGCAGTGCACAAATAAAATATTAAAAATATAACAATGTATAAAATTTTAAAACATGCAAGGGTGATTAAACGTCAATGTGAAAATAAATTTAAAAGTGGGAGGAGGGCTTTCTGGGTGCTAACTAGGCCCAGGACCACATTTATTGGTAGCATTCCTTACTTCACTGGGTAGAGATAAATAGATGATACATGCTGATGATACCTCACCCCCATGGCGACAAATGATCTCACCCATTGGTTTAGAGATATAGCAGCACCTCTCACCCCTCCAATCAACGGTGACTGAAACTGGCCATTGAGGAAGTAAGACAATCAGCACAATATAGTGCTACCTACTTTCAACCCTGCAGGTGATCCAGAAGGATACCATGGTCAATGGTATTGAAGGCTGCTGAGAGGTCATGAAAAGCAAGGATGGAGACATTATCTTCATCCTGTTCTTGGCAGAGGTAATAAAAAAGCACAACTAACATTATTTCAGTCTCAAACCCATGTCNGGAACACAATTTTGCCCTCTTCTGGATCGTGTTAGTAGGGGAAATCTTCCTCTTTTACACTTAGAAATGCCTGTTTGTCCTAGATTTCCATGTTACAGCACCACATTGGGAGTCCTCCAGTCCCCACCCCACCCCCACCATTTGATGGTTACAAATGGACATGTGTATGCACACAAAGACACCCAAGCTTTCTCTTGGCAATGTAAGAATGGAACCACATTTTGAGATCCTCTAGGATATCCCATTTGGATGAGAGGTGTGCTGATACTCATGAAAATTAGAATTCAGTTCCCATCCTATTTCATTTTTTGATAGTTTTTGAAGAAAATGATTTCAGAGGCAAAATATTAGTTTTTAAACCAGAAAGATCTCCGGAAATGCCAACACCAATTAAAACCCATCTGACCAAAAACAATGTGTCTTAAAATTGAGGGAGTTATTTCATAATTTGGAGGCATTCTGTGTTGGTTATTTCATTTTTTGTGCTTTTGCAGATTAATGACATCGTTTTAGACAAGATTTTTGGGGGGGCAACTGCCACAACTAATTCATTCAAATTTTGTGGAATCACTGCACATTATCATGTAAAAGCAGACAGCAGCTGTTTTTAAAAAAAATAAAAATTAAAGATTATTTCATCTTTTATATAAAGATGGAATGATAACGTAATTTCCATATCTGCAGATATATTGAGTTGAGCATTGGTGCTCTTTTTTTTTCCAAAAAGAGGTTGGATGTGCTCATTGATTCATAAAGCAACTCAAATACCAAATCGCAAACATACATTCAGTATATTCTTTGCAATTAGTTACTTTATATTTGGTGTATTTTATAACTTTTTAAAAATAGCAACCAAATATTTCTCTGGATATTTAAAAGACATGTTTAAATAATATGGTTTTAAATTTAAAACAAATTATATGTAAAGGAAAAATTAAGAAAAAGTAGGAAAATCTGCCACAAAAACATATCTTTATTATATGTTAATTCTTTTCTGAAGAAGCCAATTTAAGATCTCCACTTCTCCTTTCTCTCCCTGATTTCCTGAAAAACCAGATTTCACCCTCTAACCAGTGGTGGGATTCATATAATTTACCAACCAGTTCTCTGCCCTAATGTCCAGCTGGGTAGGTGGGGCTCTGTGGTCATATGATCATGTGGGCATGGCCAAGCCAATGTCACTCAGGTCGATGGGCTCTTCGCCTTAGTTGTTACAATGGTAATAAGGGTTAACTNCAAAAGGAGAAGTAAGATCCCATCTCCTTATAAGGTTTTCTCCTCAATGTAACCACTAAGAAATGTGTTAAGTATTTCCGTGTTGCAATGCTTTTGAGAATGTATAAGAACGCTTCGATAATGAAGGTTGTTCAGAACTTGCAATGCTAAGCCATGGGCTAGCTTTCTGAACCTGGCTGCCAAATAAACTTTTCCTGTATCCTGAGAAGTCTAAAGCCTGCCATTTTCTGCAACAGTATGGTCTTAGAATTGGTTCTTGTTGGAATATTTAAAACCTTTGCAAATAAATAAAGTAGCTTGTAGTGTAGTAGATTACACTTGTGTTATGGAACTTTTTTAGTTTTTCTTGCACAGGAATGGTGCACAATTCTTACTGAGAGTTTTAAGGTACGTTGATGAAAATTGCAATAGACCACTGGAAGAAAAATTAAGATTAATTTAATGAACCATTATTGTCATCTAGCTCTTGAGTTCAGTATTTTAACCCAAAGAAGTCTATAATAGCCATAAAGTTGATTGCTTTTTTATTGGTACCTTGATTTCATCATATTTTCTTCTTGCTCTTCTGCTGGGAGTTCAGGACTGCCTCTTATTACAGCCAGGCGCCAAATGCTGGAATGAAGAAATATTTATCTTGCAGGGCTGTTGTTTTTTTCAGGCTTGACAACCAAAAGTGAAATCTGAAATGCTAAATCCTGCTGTTCCCGGCATACCCTACTTTAGATAATTGTTGGTTGAAAGGATGAAATCATAGATAGAAGCCATTTATGACATTCTGAGCTTTGAGGAACAATGAAATGTGTCCAAGTCTGAATCTTTCCCAGAACTAGTAACCTCCCTATATTATCTCCCACGACATAATTATCTGTCAAGTTCAAGTAATACCCGTTCGTATCATCAGAAGAATGTCGTTTGATATTCCTTGCCATTCGATGGTTGCCCCTTGGAAATAGGTTGCGATTCGGATTATTCGCGGGGCTCTCTCCGAAGGTATCACTCAACGTCTTTAAACCGACCGCGTGAGCGAGATGTTGTTATCCAAGGGCTGACAATTGCTCGGCCACGCTTTCTTCACACGGCTAAATTGCGCAGTCTCGTCCGCTACGGGAGCATCGAGCCCACCGTCTGGTCTCTTTCTTCGGCATCCAGCAAGCGCACCAAAGAGCGCCGGCAGAGGGCAGCGCTGCTCCTTAACTGGGCGTGGAGGCTTCAGACACGTTGTTTCCCACGCAGCGCAACATCGCGACGCTCCCTCCATCTCGGCCTCCCTCGCGCTCGCTCATCTGCCAGACTCCTGTCTTTGCCCGGCGGCAGTGCAGCGGAGGCCGAGCGGGGCGCCAGCAGCTCTCCGGCAAAGTGGAGCCTCGAGTTGCGGGATGCCACTAACGCTGCTGCCGCTGGTGCTCTTGCTGCTTGCGCTGGATGCCTCCCGGGCGGCGCGTCCCCACGGCTGGCTGTACCGCGAGAGACGGAGCAGCCCGCGGGAGGAGGAGGAGGGCCTGCGGGATCGTGCCGCGGGAGCCCCGGAGGCGGCTTCCTTGTTTAGCACCTCTTTCGTCCTCAAAGGGGACGCGGCTCACAACCAAGCGATGGTGCATTGGACGGGCGACAATAGCAGCGTAAGTACTTAGTCGGTGCCACTCGCCTTGCGATCTGGGATTGCCCCTCGAGCTGCGGGCTTTCCTGCTTGTCGAGCGGAGTCCTCATGGCGCCCTCGCCGGCAGCGGGAAGGAGGAGGGGTAGTGACGTGCCACCTTTGGGTGAGGAAGGGAAGACCCTCTAAGGAACAAGAGGGGTCGCACGGACGCCTTTCGGAAGCTTAGCGAAGGCTTTTCTTAGTCTCAAGCTATCCCCATCCTCAACTGGTCAGACTTACCTCAAGGCTTCCAATCCGGGGAAAGAAAGCCTGACATGTAGATAAGCGAACGGCACTCACGTTTTCTTGGGTTTTGCGTGCTCCGGTTAATTAAGCCATACAAATGCCGTTGCTTCCGAATTGGTTGGAATAAGTTAGTATCTCTGACGGGGCCTGCTCCAAACACCGGCTCTAGCAAAACAATGAGATTTCCTCTGCTCCCTCCCCAACTGTTAACAGACAAGAAGCCCATTTTTCCATATCAATTTCATGATCTCTTCATGTCAATGGAAGTATATTTGGCCATTTGAATCTCTCTCAAGTAAGATATTTTTTTATCCCCCATGTAACTCTAGGAACACAATTTTGCCCTCTTCTGGATCGTGTTAGTA